CTCTGTCTCTCTCTCATACGAATACACACACACACACACATTCACAAAGATTATTTAATTTAAACACAATCGTGCAGAGCTATACGATATATGCATTCTCACGTTTGATGTACACAAATACTAATATTATGTGTACATAAATGTACACAAAACATAGAATACAGTTCTAAATTTTGTAGATTCGTAATTTAAATCATTTATATCCCTTTTTAACCGTGATTTTATCAATTTAATATATAATATTCGATAAACGAATATTATATATTCAAACGAGAGACACTGAAAGAATATTGATTCAATTAACTTTATCGTGCACATAAACATATCAGTAGAGAAATTACCTACTAAAAATTAATCACATTACCTTCTGCAATAAACTATGATATATCGATCATAGGTTAACGGAACGTTACGTTAACAATTCGAGTAGAGCATTCCGTCTCTTAACAGATTCTGTTCGTGAACCTATTCAGTAATTGTAACCAAAACTAAATTAGAAAGATCCCCCAGGGCGATTATTTGCGGGGAATATACATAATTAAACATAAGATGGGACACCATTCTTAATTTTGTAGAATGCTTTTTAAACTCCTTGGGGGCGTGGATTTTCGCAATTGAATGCCCAATAATCACTGTAATTAGCGTTAAACATCTAGTTGTCCCAGAAATTATATACAAATGATGATCATACAGGTAAACATAAAAGTAGAAAAAATACGTAATACATAATTAATTACAATAACTTCCGTAAAAACCTATCGTACATCGATAATCTGTTAGCAAATCGTTTGTTTACCCATTCGTATAGCACACGCCGTTCCTGAACAGATTCAGTTCGTGAACCAGTAACCAGTTTTGCCTGAATTTGGAAGACCCCCCAGGGCGATTCTTCAGGCGATACCTTCCCGAGCACCTTCCAGGCAACGGACCAGCTGCCGCCTCGCGTGCAAGCACATTTCACGCCACCAAACTTCTTCCTTCTTCACCGGCTCAGATTGCTCAGCGATCCAGCTTTGAAAGACGGTGATGCCTTTCTAATCTTCAAGATCCGGTTTTCATTCACGGTCTTACGTTACGCCGAAAACGGCCGCCATTTTTTTGGTTACTCGGTTGTTTTTTATTTGTTTGTTTCTTTTAGTTTCCCAGACGCGATCTCTAAGCGACCACGTGTTCGATTTCCAACCGGTCCAAATGTTTTTAAACATTTTGCTCGTTTGACGCAATCGAGTTGATGACTCTCATTCGAACTGACAGGAGTGGAGAAAAAAAACGAACTCTCGTGTTGAAATTTGCGAAATGTTTTAACGATGTTGATTATGAACGAATGTGCTTTTATCCCTGGAGATTAAAGTTACAGCGAGGGGCTTAAAACGAGGTACGACGTGTTTGCGAATATTGCAGCTCGTTAACAATTCACGCGTTATTAAGCAAAAATCAAGTGGACTGGTTGGTGGTGGGGGTGATGTGACTGCCTGGGGTGAGCCAGGTGTATTGCCAGAAGCTTCCCAGTTTGCGCGCAATTTGCTCGTGTGTTTTTTTTAATAATCGATGTAGATATAAATGGACCTCATTCTTGGTCTCCCGTTGCACGTAATCGAAGTAGCACGCTTTGCGGTCGGTATCCAAGTGAAACTCACAGAGTTATTTACAAGTAACAGTTTTTTCTATGCTTTTGATTCGTGAAAATGCTGAAGTCCTGGACTCTTTATGGACTAAATTATTGATATGTTCGTTTTCTAAGTCGCAGAATAGTGAAAATGAACAATTAATCCATCTTTGAGATTTTGTTTCTTAAAGGCAATATTACATTAAAGTATTTGTAAAAGAAAAGTGTTTTAACATCCATTTACGAAAAGATATTGCGAGTAGACATATTTAACAGAATAAACTTCAATTTGATTTATATCAAAACAAGGGTTTGGACTTGGTTTCATTGGAAACCAACATTTTGACGGAAATTAATTGTTGACTTTTAGAATTAATTTTCTAATATTCGTGAATGTGTGAATGTGAATCGTTAGTGCTCTAAATAATATTTGTGGATCAGTACATCCTGTGATTCAATAATGAGGATGAATAATTTCCGACACCACCAAAGAAGCTGGGATCCGAATACAGAGCCTGGATGTGAAGTAAATTTGAGACTCCGATCTATATGAATGCAGAATAAAATAAGAATGGTTCAATAATTTAACCTTTTGCAATATTAATATGATCCATTTTTCATGACCAGTCAGTTAATGTCATTATTTAATGAATGCCTCCTTTGATGATTCTTTTTCGCGACTAACTTCCCTCTTGAAAGTAATGCTCAAAGTAAATTGTAAAGAATTTTATTGTGTTAGAATTAGTAAGCATGGACTTATAAAGAGTATTAATTAAGTCAACGAAGAGATAATAAAAATTTTGGAAAATGCTTTATGAAATTGTCGTCGGGTAGAACAATTTGTTACTAGGCAACATTTCACAACACTTCCCAGGTTCTTAAAAAATACTTATGTTCATAATAGCTACGTGTTTCGACGGTTGATGCAAATGGATTTTCGTGCTGCCTAAGAGACAATAGCGAATACACCCACCCTCCATGTGACAGTTTTCTGTTTCTTTCGTATGAACATTGTCGCTAATGCATGAACTACGTTTGCTAATGTCCGATACAAGTAGAAATCCAAATGTTGGTAGAGCATCTCGTTACCTGAGGTAATTTCTGTGACAGGAAGCTCTTTGTTGTCAAAGCGTTAAGTGCATCAGTGTGCGTAGTTAATTAACGCAATAGTGGTGTCAAGATCCCCTTTTTGGCAGTAATCACTTTGGGAGCTTTTATTCAGAGTATGTAACTAGTAACGAAATGAGGTCACTCAATTTCCCATCCCCTACAGACCACTGTCTCATTTCCCATGACGGTCTACAGCCCACCGCTTGTGATCCCGTCACTGACCCCTCATTCCCTGCTCCTGCCCTACCCCTCCACTGCCCCTCCCTCGCTCCCGTCCTCTCCATTGCTACTCTCTCGCTCCCATCGTCTTCATTGTCAATCCCTAGTTACCATTGTCTCCATTGTGACTCCCTCGCCTCCATCTCCACTGCCATTCCCTCGCTGCCGTCGTCTCCACTATCACTCCCTCGCTTTCGTCTTCTCTATTGCCACTACCTCAATATCATCGTCTTTATTGCCACTCCTTCGCACCCGTCATTTCCTTTGCCCTCTGTCCCCTCCATCGTCTCCATTATCCCTCCCTCCCGTCTTCATCGTTTGCCTTATCCCATCGTCACCATTGCCTACCGGTTCCTGTAGCTGAAATTCTAGTACTGACTATTCATTTTGCGAACTAATAAACCAACTTTGTCACGTAATTAGACATATTTATGCCATCATTTGCCCATCTGTTCGTATTTTACCCTGACGCGCTGTTACATAAGACGGTTGGACCTTTGGAGTTCGTATACATGCACACGCGAACGTAAATAACTAGTCGAAACCATTCATCCGTGTCTTTAATGGTCCAGAATTCCAGGGCCTGTATTTTAATCATCGCCGATTGGCCGAAGTTCCGAGCAATGCAACGGCGGGGCTTCGCAGGGATACGTTGTTAGGCCGCAGCGAAACTCTCAATTACGGCCACTGCTATGCGGAGTTACGTTTTAATGATCCGATTCAGCGTCGAGAACGGATCAAAGGGCGACGGAGAACGGGTCCTGCGGCAGAAAACGCATTGCAAACACATCTGCTGTTAGCAGTGTGTTTTTTGCTTAAATTGCAGACCCGGAATTTTAACTCATGGAAATATAAAAAAAAGAGAAGAATGTGAAATAAAGTGAGATGAAGTAGTTGACGAAGCGAGGTGACGAAATATGTAAAAGAAGGCACGCAGATATTACAAAATAAATAGTTTTATTCAGTTACTAATATTACTAGTTATTCAGATATTAATCTCAGATACTATCGACAAATACTTTTGAATTTTTATTGATTAATAACTTTGCTGACGGCGACGTCGACTCCTTTCACAGTCAAAATATGGAAGAATTTCATTACGTTTACATCATCGTCTTATGAACTCCATGGAAAATGTATAACCTACGTTCTTACAGACCTCTAAATTCGGTTTTATGACGCAAGATTTTTAAAAAATGTACACAAAACGTTTTCCGAAACATTTGAGGAAACATTTGTGTTGTACACGCTTGTATGTTTCATAAAATCGTGTATCACGCCACCTGTGGGGAATATTGTGTTTAACATTTCTCTTTCGGTCTACCGTCCTGCATTACGAGTCTAATAGAAGAGGTCGGCGATAATAAAGTGATGGGACTTCAGGTACTCATCTCGAAGTGCGATTTCGTCGTTCGTCTACACTGGTTTAGTCAATGCTTTTTCGAAAACCGAAATAAACCCAATCAAAACCTAACGTAACTTAACCAACGTCTAGACCTGTGTGGAGGCATACACCAGGGAAATTTTTTAAAAAATGGCGCAGTTTTTCTGTGGAGCTTCGTGGTTTTTAACCAGTTGTTTTACTGTCGTTGCCATTGCTGATTGGTTCATACCTACAATTATTTGATGAAAAAAGAATGTATTCGATTTCGTATTATTTGAATGAAACTAAGAGTTTTACTGCAATCTTGGTAGATTTCATAAAATGTACGTTTTATGCAATATTCTGTAAACAAATAATAGTATCGTCTGCATTGATGTAATACAATGCTACTGCTGGCTTTTCTCTTCTGCCAAGAAGCTTCCCAGTCGATTGATTAATGTTTCTGGGTACGTCAACTGCTATGGTAATTAGTTCCGTTTGTGAAGTAAATGATTTACCCCAGGGAAGGGTTAAAATGTCTTTCCGCTGGGTGGTGACATCGGGCTCCGACTTAAACGACTGTTCCCATCCAGGTATCTCCTTCAGCGGCGTACTGCTGCATCCAAAATAAGATCTAAACGTCTAAACTTCTCACAGGTCTTCCGGCGTAAGTAGAAGTGCAGTTGATGTAACTGTGTAGGTATGTGTGTGTGTGTGTAAGGGAACGGGAGAGCACAAGGAAGTAGAAGGAAAGATGTAGTCCCGGTCCCGTTTGTTTGGATCTGGTCCTTCATTCGCGTAATATTGATCGGAGAAACGACGGAAAGCTACCAATGAGAGCAGCCGGCAACTAGAATTTTCTTTCAGACAACAGCTGAATTCGACGTAGCTATTTAGATATTGCGGAAAAATACGCCACCGTCGGGACTAGAAGCTTCTAGACCTCCCGATAGAGCGTCGCCGCAGTGACGGCGGCAATGCTGTCTAATCTCAACCGGTCCCCACCGTCGACCTGAGTCGACTGAAACGGAGCAGCGCGTAACTCGAGACCGCGCCACCAAACGGACCGTAGGCGCGGGGGTTCCCCGCGTCGGTGCGGGGCTCGTGCGAACGTGACCGCGTCCCGCACCTGCTCACCTCGCATCGCGTCGCGTCGCGTCGGCGGTCGGCAGATCACGCTCCAGCACGCCCCCGCACACGCGCGCGGGCGCGACACCTGCCAAAACAGCTCCGTGCCGGCGCGCGGGTGAGCGACCCGCGTCGCAGGGGAGACGAGGTGGAAGATGCTGGCGCAGCTGCGGTGGAGTCGACGGCGACATGGAGGAGGAGGGGGGGTTACCGGTTGCGATGGCTCTGTGGCAACACGTTGCTTCGGCAGCGTCGTTGACCGGGAGGTTGAAGGGTTAGAGGCAAGTCGGGTCACGAGTTTAGCTCGGTCTCATCTAACCTCTTGAGGAGAATTCGGGGGGATGGCTCTGATAGATAGTTTCTGGTGGTTTCTCCAATCAATGACAAGGGAATGTCGTATCAGAACCGTATTAAAACGTGTACTAACCGTGTGCGATCTTTTGTTTCTCATTATTATTTCCTGCTCGCCCCTTATAATCACACACACACCTACTATTGTATTCACTCTACTACATATGTCCGGAGTATATTCGCGTGCTTAGCGATTGACAGAGCCATCTAAAACTCGACTCGTCCAAAAACCCAACTCAACCAAACCACATTCCAAATTAAAGGCTAATTAAATGCTATTTCCCTAATTTTAGACTCTTGTATATTAGCAGTGATAAACTCTTACAAAGAGAAAAAAAATAAAACTATTGGATGTACTGAAAAATAATGACGAGTGGGGGCGAGATAAGCGACACATAGCTTCGAGACGCCCGTGCCTGGCGTAGCCTCGTCGTGGGCCTGCCGTCGCCGCAGGGAGGTCCGCGGAGACTAGTTACCTCACCTGCGCCTCCCAGGGAGAGGGGAGCACCACGGATGCGCGCACCCGCGCCCGGAGATCTCGGCGGCCTCAGGGGCCGGAAGCTGCTCAGCGAAGTTGCCGAGTGGAGGCTCAGCGAAGATGCGTCGTGTGGACCCGGGGCCCACTGTTGATGTACTCCGCTCGCCGGTACACGCGCTTGCTGGAATAATAAAGTATAAATTACGGAATCTTGTCAAGTAAATATGTATATTTAGAGTGCGCTTCTGATTTAAAAAGCTCATGAAAGAGTATGCTTCTTAATCTAATTATTTTCATGGAGACTTAAGATATTCATGAGATAATAAAGGTTGAATCACAGACTGTACGTATGTTATAATGCATAATTATGTTAATGCAAGGTATTTTATGCAAATTTTTCTACTGGACGATTTAATTAGGACTTGCGTTTTGTATAATACGTAATTTATAATATTAAGCATCTGAATCTCAAGAAGGTGTATGATTAATAAAGTTATTTAAAAAATAACATGCGATTGTCTCATATTGCCAACAATTCAAATGAGAGGGACCCACGAAGATTAAAATTTTCTTATCTAAAACACTTTGGAATAATTCAAGGAATTTTTGAATACGCATACCTTCTTTTCCCCTTTATCTTTCTTTCTCCTTTAAATTATGGATATTTCAATTTCCAAAAGTTCATGTACCATGATTTCTGCTATTTGCGAGATACAGAGGAATGATTTCGTCCCTCTTCTGATATTCCATGCACAGTTTGGAACTAATTTTTTGTACTTTTGATTCATTATTATTTCAAGTAGAGTCGTATTCGTTTGTAACTAAATTATGGATAATGTCTCTAATTGCTTTTTGATTTAGTTTTCAAGGTTAATCTCTATGCATGAATGGCTCAGATAATATCAAAATAATTTTCGTCCTTTTTGAACACCTGCGTACCGTATTTACTTTTGTCTGCAATTAGCCTTAAACTATACAATGGTACAATTCCTCTATAAAAAGTTCATTATGGAGTAATTTTGCGCTTTGTGAAGACTTTTAGTATGTAGTAGAAACGTTTAATACCTGAATGTGTAACGAAAGAAAAAATAATAATAAAAACAATAATAAAGAGAGTTTAAAGTAGAACAGGTCACTCGTTAAGAGTCCTTAAAGAGTCCAAACACGTTCCTAATACTATATTATTTTGTCGTATTAGATTATTCGCGCAGGGGAAACTAGCGTTTATGACTATAGCACTGTGGGTGATATTGTTATGAACAAAACAGTTTCGTGGTTGTCCATATTCTGTACTTCACTGCGCATAAAATTGTACAGGGTACAGAAGTGTTTTAAACCTTTCAAGCTGAAAATTCGTCCTTAAAGCACGAATCCTTAGCAGTAATGGTGGTAACCTAGGGGCGCTCTGGGGATACGGTTTAATCCGAGAAGAGAAAACCTGCTCGGGTGAAATGTGACCCAAACGCTGTATAACACCAATAAAATTAAAACAAAAAAACAGATGGAGAAAGATTCAAAAACAGCTAACTTTGAAACATTTTATGTTTTGATTAATCAAAGCTTCCTCAAAAATGAAATGACACACATGTCGGGAAATTTAGTTGGGGGCATTCTGTCCAGAGGATCTGTGGTACATAACTGGAGGAGGTCAACTCTTGCAAGACCTCGTGCAGATCGGCACCGAATCTCGCGTTCAAGCGAAGATGGAACACCGACACTTTTCGAGATGCAACGTGTACAACACTTCCAGAATCGATGACCTATACTTCGATTAAAACTCGATATCATTTCAAGGTCACGAGGTGAATAGACAGGGGACACTGTCATCCAATCGGAAGCTTCAGTACCAAAAAAATTAGTTCTAACCGAAGCTCGCGATTCGATGACAATCCCCGCTCTCCCACTTGCTCGTGACCTTGAAAGGACTTCCTTTTTTAATCGGAGTACAACGTGTTCGGCATCAATTCTTTATCACTCACACGCCCACACATTCGAAAGTCAAAACCTACTGGAAAACCATTTAATTTTTCCGTCGGTTTGTAACTTTCAACCACTGCGGGCCTTAAAACACGCGCGTGGCAACTCATCCAAAGAGTTTACAGCGGAGCCCCCTTGAGCAAACACTGGAGAACGTCCCTGGCCTTCGGCGAAGCGTCAAAGGAGAGAAGTGGCCCATGCAACGATAGCGGCCGTCGTTTGGAATGCGGGGAGTGACTGAATGCACCTTTCTTCGACAGAATGTGTGCTTCCCTTTAGCCGGCCAACCGTCAAGTAGGTATGCATCTATACGACGGAGAACGATATATTTTCTTAAGTTTCTTCAAGATTCCTTTCTAGGAACGGTCTTAATGGGTAGCTGTCTTGGTGAATTGAAAAAATACGAATGATGTCCGAGATCAAATACCCACATTATAGTACGCAAAATACTGCATAGATGTAAAATTGCATAATAAAACAGGCTGCTTTGTGGACAAATAGCATCACCAAACGGATGAAGGGTACGTAATAGGCAATACTAATTCTATGAATGAATTTCAAAAGGTTTTCTAGATAGTCATGTTAAGAAGGCTCTTCTAGGATTTTGGGCACTGCACAACCAAATTAATATGAATAGTTTGCTGTAGTACGTATTTTCCCACTTTTTTCGGTACTATTCTTTTGAAATCGGAATGTGCTGAACACTAAGTTGTTGTTAAATGGAGAGGGTTAAGAGAGTACTTTATAATTTTTTTAAATTAATATTTTGTCCAACCTTTCATTCGGTCAGTCCTCAGGTAGACATACGTCCTTCTCCTGCGTAAAGAAGTTACGTTGGAGATCGATGCAGAACAATATTTATTTTCACTTTACCTCAAGATTCCTTGCTAATGTGGTGTGAATGATCAGTCTTCTGGAAGTACCAGAAAAATACGACTGATATTTGAGATCAAAACATTTTCATTTCAGAATGTATCTTGTAATAATGCAATTGTATTGTAAAACAGGCTGCAGATAACGACTGTAAATTAGTGAATGACGTATGAAATGCCAGACATACTGCCGGAACTGCTGCGAATTATTCTACGTAGCATAATTATGACAGTTTGAGTAAATTGTCCGTGTGATCCATTGGGAATTTGTTGTCGAAAAAGAGTACAGCAGCTTTTTTCCCTCAAGTTTCTGTTCTGTCTCCTGCCTCCCATTTCACGAACTATTCCATCTCTATCCTCCCTGTCTTAGTTTGGCCTATTCTGAAAAATTCGATAATGGCCGCGTTCAGATGTAGTAACTTCGAAACTAGATCAACCGTATCCAAACCCGTTCCCCAGGACTGACATCCTTGATTTGCAGTATGTTCTAAGATTTGTCGAGGTTTCTGGCTTTTATTTATCTAACGAAGACGGGGCAAGCTTAGTTAAGCGGCAATCCACTGTTGCCTTATTTTCCCCCTCCTCCCTCATCCCAGCGGTCGTTGCACCACTGGCACGGCGTTTCTTGAGCAGGACCTCCTTTCTCCCTGGTGTACCGCCACGCCGCACCGCAGCTCTGCTCCCCGTCGGTGCATTCGCCTTTGCAGCTGTGTGTTCAGCGCGGGGCGGGCGATCCCCGTCGTAAAACACATGGCGTTTCCTCGCGGGCGGGACGAGATGTGGTGGGGTGGGGCGGGTAGAAGCCGGGCTGAGCAGACGGGGCGGGGTGAAGCGGGGCGGAGCGAGGTGGGCGGGGCGAGGCGGGCGGGGCGAGGCGGCGGGGCGGGGCGAGGCGGGCGGGGCGAGGCGGGCGGGACGAGGCGGGCGGGGCGAGGCGGGCGGGGGGGGCGGGGCGAGGCGGGCGGGGCGGGGCGAGGCGGGCGGGGCGGGGCGAGGCGGGCGGGGCGGGGCGAGGCGGGCGGGGCGGGGCGAGGCGGGCGGGGCGGGGCGAGGCGGGCGGGCGAGGCGGGCGGGGCGAGGCGGGCGGGCGAGGCCGGCGGGGCGAGGCGGGGCGAGGCGAGGCGGGCGAGGCGAGGCGGGCGGGGCGGGGCGAGGCGGGCGAGGCGGAGCGAGGCGGGGCGAGGCGAGGCGGAGGCGAGGCGAGGCGGAGCGAGGCGTGGCGGAGCGAGGCGAGGTGGAGCGAGGCGAGGCGGAGCGAGGCGAGGCGGAGCGAGGCGAGGCGGGACGAGGCGGGGCGAGGCGGGCGGGGCGAGGCGGGCGGGGCGAGACGGGCGGGGCGAGGCGGGCGGGGCGAGGCGCGGGGGCGAGGCCGGCGGGGCGAGCGGGGGCGGGTGGTGTGGGGCTAGGTGAAGCGAGGCGGGATGGGGTAAGGCGGCGCTAGGCGGGTAGGCAGAGGCCCCCCTGGGGGGGGGTGTTTTGGGGCCAGGCTCCGGAGCAGGCGGTTGGCGAGGGAGGAGTGAATGCAGCATACGAAGTGTCTCTATTAAGACGCTTCCAGTTGAATGGGCGCCCAGCCCGCCCGAGTAAGACGAGAGCAAGTACAGCGCTCTTGTCATACTGTCGTGCGCTCGTCGCGGTGCGTGACGTGAACACTAAGTGCCGGACGCGAATGCGTTGGTGTTGGCGTGGGATAGACACCGAAGTGATGATTTTCCTAATACTCGTAAAACATCACTGTTTGAGGTGATTGAAGAAGTATCGCCTGTTGTAGCTCACACTCATGTCAATGTTTATTGGGTGGGTATTGAACGGTTTCTGGAGAATGGACGAGGGATGTTTCAATACTGAAGACTGAAAGAATACATGATTTCAACTCAGGATGAATGAAGTATGCTTTCTGTACTGAGGAATGTGTGTTCTATACGGATAGTGAATGAATGGATGAATGATTGAATAAATGAATACATACAATTTGAATACACCTAGTTCATAAACTGGTACAACGTCTGCGGCCGACACCATCAGTAAGAAGAACTAACTGTTGGTGATTTACACAGGTTACCTTGGCGTATTGACAAACTGACAATGGTTTATTGATGTGATGTGTGAGTTTATAATAAAATTTCTAGAGTTATTCCTCATTTCAGAAAATGAGATGTGTGTCCAGAATTTGTCCTTTAGGACAATACCTAATACAACTTCATTTTATCACAAAAAACCGCTGAAATTATGTCGATCTAGGATTTTGTACAACTTATGTCATCAGCCAGTGCACACGCTAGGGCAATCTGCGGAAGTAGGGTTTTCTTACATCTCATCTTTGCTACAAGTCAATACCAACCATGAAATATAAAGCCGTTTAGAAATAACATTGTGTCGTAATTTACTACAACTTTTACAGTGCAGTTTTTTATAGCCGCGAATAAAGCGTAATAATAATTAGCACTTGTGATTTGACGGCTAGTGAGCTCGATATGTATTTTGGAAATCTCTGTCGCAACTTCCGTCGACTCCAGGTCGAACACTTCGGACGCCCTTTACTTCAGGATGAAAATCGTGTCCGCGTAATCTACTCAACCTGTCGACCAACCCACGAGGGATCTTATTCAACCCTATATCGACACTGAAAGGGAGAGATGTCCGTTTGCCACACCTTTCATCCAGGTGATGCGCATCGTCAAACAATGATTTGAAGGCAAATTTCAGACCGATAGACAAGTCATATAGACGTATTGAATCACTTCCATTTGATATGTTGGCAATGTGGTGGTCTAAATTCATTACTATGAATCGTCATGAAACTCACTCTTAATAAACAACTGAAGATCATAAGTATTGCAATGCGTCGAAGAGCGAGTTTACACACCTCTGGTCGTCAGCGGTCCAGGCGCGCCGCTCACGATGCGTAGGTCTCCAGTGGGTTAAGCACAAAGAATTTACGACGTGAAATTAAAATTTTTTAAAAAAGCAGTAGTCACTGAAATGATACTCAAACAGTGTGGTCAAATTTTTAGAACTGTGATAATCTTGTGCAATTTATCTAAGACGTGCTACGGACATATCAGCGGTGTGTTTTCCGGGATATAAAGGGCTTCAGAAAGCAATCCGTGAAACGTAATCCACTCTGCCTGTCCCGACATCCACAACGGGGTTCATACAGTAGTATTGCAACGCGTCGAAGAGCGAGTGTGCACACCTCTGACCATCAGCCAGTTAACGCGCGCCGCCGCCGGGTTCGTTTGCACGATCTTCCTCTGGGAGCCGCTGCACGGGCATCGACGCCACCGAGTATTGACTTTTGCCGGTATTGCATGGATAATGCGCGCAGTTTCTCTAATTACAGGCGTGGCGGCTGCGGGCGGGTCCCCAAGGACGTCTGCTTTTCGGCCCCTCCCCCCGCCTCGCTTCCCCCTTGCCACTCCCCCCCCCCCCGCCTCTCGTATCGACTCCGGATGTAGGTGCCGCCGAATCTATTGGACCTGCGCTTGCAGTGGTCGCGATAGAGGATAGCGGAAGGTTCATCGTTTATGTTCTGGGTTTTGGCAGAAGTTCCCTGTACAGCTGCACAACCTGAATTACTAAGGTTGGCAATGCTGCATCGACAAAAGAATCAGTATTTTGATTTCAATATATCAGTATTTTGAACTACTTTTGTTGTAATCTACTGCAATATCTTAAAAATCTCCCGTTATTAAATAATGAGTGCAATTGAAGCAATTCCATATGTTTTATCAATGGTTACCAAACATTAGTAGCTACCTTCATCAATGATATCATAATTTAGGAAAATTTTAGTTATTCTTCGTATGTTATTGGTAACAATAATAATGTTTATAACATTGTTTGAAAAATAAGACAATTTTTGAGAAAATATTACGCTTCATTTCGAGATATTCACCTATTAGCCTCTTCATTTTTGTTTCCAATTGTGTAAAAAAATATTGTCTTATGTTTGAGAAAATACTTTTATTGATGATGTAAAATTAGAACGTATTATAATATCAATATCGCGTAATAACTTTCATTTTAGGAAGAATGTTTGATAAAGAACAGGCCTTCGTCTTTCTTCCGTTTATTGAGCGTAATAGAGCAATTAAGTGGAGCTTAACTACAAATTTTTGTTCTATTTGTTTTTCGTCCCACATAAGCAGTCGATCCGTTAAGTATAGTTTAGTATCAGCCAGACAAGTTTTAATAGTTGAAATAATACGTTTTCAAATAAATGAAAGGTATAATGTAATTACTTACGAGCTATTAGTCCTATTATCTGATTTTGTGATTAATATTTCATCCATTTTGCAATTTGATAATTTGACCTCAGTGCATTTACTAAATATGTGTGCGCCATTGCCCACATAATTGCTTGAAATAATTACGTTATTTTAAAATAGAAATTAGGATGAGTAGTCACGTAAACGTATATGAATAGTTTAGAGGGAACAAACAACCGTCTCTGTAAGTTAATTTGCCAAATTCGCCGGACTTTAGAATTCAATTCAGTCCTAGTTCGTTATTCAGAGTAAACGAGAGTCCTTTTTGACGCATCTTCGGCACATTGTGTCATTGATTCGACTGTCACATCCCGCGAGGGTTATATCGATAAGTGAGACTACAATTCAACGCATAACTGCCAACACCGTAGGACATCGTTTTAATAAAAACGAGCACACATAATTGTCGCATTGCCCAGTTTTTGTTTCAGTACGCGAAACAAAACAGTCCAATTTAACGTTGTATTCCCACGTGAAATCTCCACTGAATTGAACCAATCATTTGAACTGCACAAATGAACGATTCACAGCTGAACAATTTCTTTTGAATCTGCGCGTTTTGTGTGGTGATGCAGTTGTGAAAAAAAGATCCGCTCTACACGAGTATTCGCTCGTAGCTATTCATTTGAACGCGCATGGGGTCCAACAAGGAAGACCGGGTGGTGAGAAGTGTCGGGAAGTTGCGAAATTCCGGTTCCAACCGCGTGGCGGTGCGAGTGGGAACATTTTTCACGCTTAGTGAGCTGGAAGTTATCGCTATGCCCCACGATTATTCATATGTCGAATTTGTGAAGTATTACTATGTTTGGTGCTAAAATAACCCTGTTTGTAAATCTTCTGGATATCATCTAAAATTATATTCCTTCTATTTTCGTTCTTTGTAAATTGGAATAATATATCAAAACATCTACCAGCTAATGGTTTTCTAGTATAGAACACTTGGCGGCGGCGGCGATGGTGTGACGGTTAGCGTACCGGACTGTTATACCCAACCACGCGGGTTCAAACCCGATCGAAGACGTGGATTTTTTGGGGGCGACAAAATCCTTCGTACGCCTTCCTTCGGAGGGGAAGGAAAGCCGGCTGTCCCATGGTGTAGATTTACTTGCATGTAAAAGATCTTCAAGCCTAAATGACGCCTCTGAGCTAAATTCAAAATCGCCTGTTTCTCGCCTAAGAAATACCTCCTTTCTCTGCTAGTTGATGAAAGGAGCGTAGCGAAATATGCGTGGTCAGACGGAAGAGCGGGCTGATGGCCCGACTCTCGCCACGTAAAATAAGGCAAATTCAATTCACTTACTCATATTTCTTCCGGGTTATTTTCTTGCAAATATTACTACTGTGATTTTTCATACACCATGTTACCTTTTGAATAGCGCAGATATCAAGTACGTTTGTTACTGAGTGGATTTTTACTACCAATTCTTACATAGCAAACAAATATATTTGGCTGAGATCACACGAGCAGATTTTAGTGTTTCAATTTTCATCACAATTTTACGTTAATATGGAATGCGGAGGTCGAATGTCTCATAAGAATAGGTAAAACGTTTCATATCATTTATGGGAAAATTAAGCAGCAGAAAATGCCTGAAAGGCGTAGTTCACAAACAAAAGATGACTATAATCCTCAATTTGCAGTGTTTACCAAAAGTACACAGATACGGTGGAGAGGAACTTTCTGCTCGAAATGAAGAGTTATTGGTTTCATTCCCAAGAAAAGCATTAATGTGTTTCATTTGCTATAGTGTCGTAGAAGGCAATATTAAGTATTACATAAGTTAAGTACATTTTTGTGGCCGACGTTTCCCATTTGTCCGATGGGAAGTAAAGCCGATTAACCCATATCGCACATTTGTCGTGTATAAAGAAACTTCAAGATTAAATCTTAGCTGTATTTTATAGTACATTTATCGTCGAAGAAACACCTACATTTGATACTAGATATCGATGGCTAAATTTGAACAACCCGTGTCTCAAAGATTCCATTTTTCCGTAGAGAGAATAAAAACGTTGCAATTTCCATTACAAGCAAATCAAACTGAGACCAATTTCCGTTTTAAAAATTTCCAGTTAATTTCTGTGATACATGTCTTTAGAATTCAGTAGTATATTTTATATTCTGGTTGATATTACTATCTCAAAACAATAAAAATTGCGAGATACGTCCTAAAATTTAGCTATTGGTGTAATTATAGAGGTGGGACTGATCCATGTCGTATTATCTTTATCATGCTTTATGATCATGCTTATGATCATTAGCGAAAGGAACGTCAATCCAATAATGGTTGATGACTGCCGCTTAGCTTTTAAAACATCTGCAAACGACCAGTAATATGTAAAATAGAGTGAAGATAATTTCGTGCGTGCATGTGTATTTGTATGTAAAAGAAATGCTATATGTATTTCTGATAGTTGGCTGGCGTTGTAGAAGGAAAAGACCTACGCGTCTCTTTTCATGTGCAAGTGATCGTAGTAATGGATTCTTCGCCTCTCATCGAATGAATGATTGGTTCCTTGCTAGGTTGATTAGTGATTCTGGTCGCGTCAGTGGCTAAAGTCATTAGTCACGTAAGTACAGGTCATTGTTTATCGTGGGATGGTTAGAACCGGTGCCAATCTACCGACAGCTACAGGGTTTTCCCCAACCAGACAACCGACCCAGCCGGGACAATCTCTAAGCTTCTGACCGTTCTCTCATCATGTGTGATAGTATAGCGCCTTGAAATGTGTGTGTAAGTAAGGGGTAGAATAGGACAGGGAATGGGAAGAAAAGATCGCGCGAGGTCCGTGGCCCGTTTGTTAGGGAACTGCTCCGGTTTTCGCTTAGTATTGATCAGAGAAACTGTGGAAAACTACCGATAATAGCAACCGGTCACTATGAGTGTCCTCCTGACAGCGAAAGAACTCGAGCTAACTGTTAAGCCAGTGTTAAAAATCCCGCCGTCGTCGGAACACTATCGTAGGACCTCCCGTTCAGACACACTGCCGAGGGATTAGTCGATGCCTCGAGCCACTGCTGTCGGTCGAATGCTGTTTCAAGCTCACGAATCGACCAGGGATACCACGGCGATTCAAGCACATGCATATTCGGAAGTACGAAAACCGAACGCGGGAAGAGGGCGAAATGGAGTACCGTACAGCGAAGTCGCAAAGTTCCGTCTCGTGCCACTGGGCTACTGCGCCAGGACGCACATTTTTCACACCCAGCGGGCTGAAAATTACCGAAACGCGGAGCGGAGCGGGGCGCTTTATTCATATGTCGAACACGCGCGTGGTACTTAGGCGTGAAATATGGTGACGCACTTTTTTCTTGTGAATGCGCAAGAGAGGGGGGAACGAGGCGGTCGGCGCCATTGTGCGCGTCGAGGGCGGTGCGATGCGCGAGCGCGCGCGTGGCGTGGGGACCCAAATGCGAAATCGATGGCGAGGGGTCGGGGCCAGAGAGGTCTTCGCGAGCCAATTTCCTTGTGGCCATACGAGGAAAGTGGGCCAGGAGGAGTCCCCGGTCGTCGGTCCCCGGTACATGGTGAAGGTTTTTCCCTGTTTCTTTTGGCGAGATTTCAAAGAAGTGGCACAAACTGAAATTATTCTGGTTGTTAAGTATTGGCAAACTATGGATTCGATTGAATTTTGTATCTTGACTAACGTCCTGAATTGATTTTATCAAAGTAATAATAATAATAATAATAATAATAATAATAATAATAATAATAATAATAATTTCAAAAATAGGACACTTCTTATGGTTAGCTGTATCTTAACATGCGCTGACTTGGTGAACATATGTTCTTCGTGTTATAATCGAATATAATATTAATAATATTGGTCTGTTTCTGGGATTCACCCGTTTAAAAAGAGTTGTTGCCTCCACCGAACCCTGTACTTTATTCTCTATAATATATAATGAATGATATGAATGATGTGATTGAATGATTGAATGATTGAATGATTGATGATGTGAGTGAATGATTTAATGAATGATATGAATAATATTTCAAGATGTAAAACAAAGAATTGCATAACAAAGAATATAACATTTGTATAACAAAGAATTGCGGACACATTTCTCCAGTGCGTATTGCAGGGAGTACTTTTTCTAATTAAAGCAACACACGTTTCTCTCCTCCTGAGTAGAATTTACTTTTGAATGCATTGGTATATAATTGAGTTTTCTAAATTTCCTACGCATTTGCGTACTTGGTCTGGGTTGCCCTTTTGCAAAAAGTCGAAATGTGTCCCCTTTCTGAAATGTGCAATTTAAATTTCATTGGTGTAATAATATGGTTAGTGCAATACAAAAAATAAGAATGGAGTGTACTTTATTATATTATTTGTATACATCCGTTCTCTAGGGTCGTTATTACGGGCCCGGTACTTCGGAGTACCAGTTGAGTGCACTGTTTCGAACAGCCTAGTGACACGTACTAAGGATAAACGGTGATCACTAAAGAACAGCGAATTTGTAATTTATGTAATGTGTTGTTCTGTATAAGAAAGAAATGAATTATGAAGTTCATTTAATGTTTTTTGGAATCAACGGGATCTTGATTATGCCTATCAATCGCCGATTTATATTCGGCAATTGACCCCTAAGAGAACATTCATTATTGATCCCTTTCTAAATTTTATCTACTCCTGTTGGGAACCACTCATCTAGGTCGATATGCACCTTTCGGTCTAAAATAGGCATACCTTCTAAGATAGCATCATCTAGTTGTGTAACATTCTGCAGCGTGATGCATTTCTTTGCGCATTAGCAACCATTTCTATACTCCACGAAGCTTGTGCAGTCATTCGTTTTCATTCATCCCAGCTCTCCTCAGGTTAACACCATGTGCACTAAAATAATTGTTCGCTCACCGCTACCATCACAAGATCCTAGTATTAATGTCTTATACGGAATTCGAACCTGCAAACCTTGTGCAAAGTATTTGCCACCGGAGCCATTTAATTCGAATGGGATATTGTGATGTTACTAAATATTATGGAATGAAAAAAGTAATACATTACACATATTTAAAGATATCCATTCTACATTATTGTATTAGCGATGCCAATAACACTAAAAATAACCTTGTTTTTAAAACTGGAAGCAAGAATAAATTAAAATAATATTACATGTATCGTAATTTTATTCTTCTTCAAACAAAATGCAAACAAAATGGTATGAATAAATGGTAGTTGGTCATCGAGCTTCAACCTGACTCTTCTCTGATCTTCTGGTGACTCACCAAGAAACATTTCATGTTGTACGAGAATGAATACTAAGAATATTTAAGTAAACCACGGAAGAGCTATCACATTAAATAATAGAATTCTGAAAGTTTAGAAAAATTGGATTAAAAGAAGAAAACGAAATTGAAATCTCGTTCTTCTACATGGATGTTGTACAAAAACCTGCAAGAAGCGAAGGACACAAACTCACCAATACCACTGTTTTAGAATCGTCAGCTGGATTTAAGGAATGTCTAACCATAGTTCGCGGACAAAACGAAAATACGCTCACTTGGTTAAACTTTCTTTATTTTTTATATCTCATTAGTGTATCACGTCTATCGCAGACAAAGCAAACATTTTTACTCATTGAAATCCCGCATGATTCTATAATTAGTTCTATAATTGGTGTATTTTGCCCTGCGCTGACGAGTTCAAAATTCGTTTACTAAACCTGAACCCCTCTCAATTTTTATATATGACGTCAGTTGTATTCTTGTCTTCACGCCTCATCACCTCTCCCCCCTCTCCGTTGTGCGTGTGAATACCCCGTGGCCACGCACTGCCTCCCCCCCCACTTTCACTGCCACGCACAGCCCGAGTACTCAACGCGCTAAATAATTGCTCCCTCACCGCCCGCACCCGCGCCGACCACGTTTGATTGAGCAGATTCCGTAATGAAGCATTTCCATAGTTTAATTAATCCCCCTGTCGCGGGCCGCGGAGCTCTCCGCCCGTTTTAATATCTCGCCGCTTTCGGCGCTCGGTGCGAGCGCACCGTTGTTGGAGGCGAACGTGTCATCCCCTTGCGTCGATCGCGCGCGAAATGTGGCCTCGCAAATGGTTTGCAAACGCACCCGCTACGTGCATTTGGTAGCGCGCGTGTTTGGATGGGTATTTTCTGGAGAAAAAAAAGAGTGCTGTTAAGTGGACTTGTCCGGTTTGATCGTTTCCAAGAGGCAAAATAGATAAAATGTCTTTATTATGTTATTTGTAAACAACGATAATAGTATTTGAGGTCAATTTGTGGTATTTATTAACATGTTTATTATTTTCGACGGTTTTTCAGAGCCACGTTTACGTCAGATATAAAAAATCTTGCGGATTGAGAAAGGAAAAGTGAATTCAAGAAATAAACAATTTAAATTTAATTGGTAGTACTATACGACGTACACTGCCGATCTGGATGGCCGAAGGGGCTGAAGCGCGTGCAGACTGAGCGCCTCGGTCGAAGGGGTCGCGAGGTCGAGTCCCACCATGGGCATAGTTGTTGGTCCCTTGACTTTCATGTGTGTGTGTTTTTTCCGCGGATGGTCTAGAGAGCCTGCTGACCACAAACCGAGGAGACCGCCTGTAGGTGTACTGTAAAGGTACTGCAATGTGTTTCCCCATGAGGGATATAATGGGTACGCGCCGCGTATAGTGGGGCAAAGTGAGACCCCGGGATAGTGGGCTTGAGGAACATAGTGGGCCCCCGAAGAAAAAAAAGACTTAGATAAACACTGCACAATTGTTATTCTTACGTGGTTTCATAGTTTTTGGTATTAAATAATCGATATGTCCCGACATTTCTTCGAAACTACTTTTGTAACTAGGATCAGCTCAAAACGTGTTTTCCACATTTGTCAAAAATACCCAGAAAACGACTTTTAAGCATGATTCAAAACAGTAAAATGTCTTCTCAGGTTTGAGATCCACCTCTTCTTCCAGGGTAGATTCGTCTATCAACAATTGATCAGTTTATGCCTTTTTATTTTTTCTAGGCTATGTACCTAATTTTTTTCCTTCGTACGTTAGCGATCATTCTTCAATAATTGCTATCAGCGTGAATCGGACCGTCCCGGATATCGTCCAGAAATAGCCTTCAGTTTGTCCGTGACGGCTCAAAACGGTGACAGCGGCAGCGCAGCCGGTGCTCGAGAATCGAGGATTTTTGCGTGGAGAGTCCCCTGGGGAGGGCGGCAGTGTTCTCAGCCTCCGCCCCCTCGCCGTCCGCTCGGAATTAAATTTCACGCGCGCGACTCTCGTTGCCAAAGTTACGACCCGCGCGCTCGCCTCGCCGGTCGTCCTCTGCCCATTACTGCCCCACCCCCCGCTCCTTCTTGCCCTCCGTTCTCGCTCCGTCCACTACAGGCACTGCCCGCCAGCACCCCCTCCTCCACCAACATAGCCACCACCGTCCCCACCCCACCGCGCCTCTCCATCGACATCACGTATTCACGTTCTCATCTATTCATCGTTTTCTTCCTCGCCCACCTTTGCTTTCCCTTTCCTCCTCCTTCTCGCATTTGTTTTCGCTTTCCCGCGCCTCCTTCCCCCTACTACATCTACAACTTCCATACCTCATTCCCCTCACTGCTTAGCTATTTCTTTCCTCATCCCCTTTCTCAATCGTCAGATCTTCAGATAGCACTTGCGTTCCACCGAGACGTGTAAAAGGTTATCTCATCTTCAGCAGTCCTTCCACTGCGCAGCCAAAGTGATAAGAAGAGTGTCACCACCTTCTCTCTCCGTCCACTACAGTCACTGCCCGCCAGCACATCTTTCACCATCATACCCACCACCGTCCCCACCCTACCGCCGTCTCTCCATCGACCTCACTTCTCATTCTCATCTATTCATCCTTCTCTTGCTCGCCCACCTTTTCTTTCCCTTTCCTCCTCCTTCTCATCCTATTACTCGCATTTCTGTTCGCCTTCCCGTTCCTCCTTCCCCGTACTCCATCGATAACTTCCATACCTCATTTCCTTCGCTGATTAGCTATTTCTTTCCTCATCTTCTTTCTCAATCGCCAGATCTTCAGGTAGCACTTGCGTTCCACCGAGACGTGTAAAAGGTTATCTCATCTTCAGCAGTCCTTCCACTGCGCAGCCAAAGTGATAAGAAGAGTGTCACCACCTTCTCTCTCCGTCCACTACAGTCACTGCCCGCCAGCACATCTTTCACCATCATACCCACCACCGTCCCCACCCCCACCGCTGCCTCTCCATCGACATCACTTCTTCACATTCTCAGCTATTCATGTTTGTCTTCCTCGCCCACCAAATCTTTCCCTTTCCTCCTCCTGCTTCTATTGCTCGCATTTCTTTTCGCCTTCCCGCTTCTCCTTCCCCCTACTCCACCTACTTCAATATCACATTTCCTTCGCTGATTAGATATTTCTTTCCTCATCTCCTTTCTCAATCGCCAGATCTTGAGGTAGTACTTGCATTCCACCGAGACGCGTAAAAGATTATCTCATCTTCAGCATTCCTTCCACTGCGCAGCCAAACTGATTAGAAGGGTGCCAACACCTTCCGAATACTTATACAATCGGGGTCTAGGCATTTAACTTCTGTCTCAGAACCCCGTTTGTTGTTGCCTCGTGTGTTGCGCGTACATCGCCATATCTCCTTTTGTTTGCCTGAACAATTCTGTTGTCGTACCAATGCTGAGATCGTTGCGCTGGCATCGTTGGACACATTGCCTCAAAGATTCCAGCAACAAGATCCTACGCGTGTTGTCCACTTCGCACTTGTGTTGTGACTTGCCAATTTCTGCCACCATTCCTCGCCAAAGTGATTAGAAGAGTGCAGACGCCCAACGTCACACTTCTGAGTGAATTAGTCGAACAAAAGTGGTGAATGCAGTGAATAGCATTGGCCTCAGCAAAATGAATAAAAAAATTCAAAATTATCATCTCTTGGAACTCAAATTTTCTGTATTAGGGAGAGTAAATTTAGGTTGTTCAAATTCGTTTTCGGGATTGTGACTTGTAACTTGTCTGCATCTTCCAACATTGCTATCCACTTTTCCAAAGATATTTTGTGCTTGTTCTCATCTTTGTCTTCACTCTTGTGCTCTACTGGTATGGCTTCTCTTCTCTAAACTCTTCTTTTGCTCTGAGCGTCGCGTGCCTATTCCAACATGCATATCGACCTCATTTCTGCATTCCATTCTCTCTCTGAAATTGCAACGTAACGCTTCTACTATTTTCGTGTAATGTGCTGCCATCGCCTTAACCACAATTAAATCCATTTTTTTCTTTCTGGATCAACTGGAATTTTGACTTCACTGACGCCTTCACCCCTGTGACTTCTTTTCCTTCGATCTGAACATTACTCCTGCCCTCGCCTTTACATTCCTCCGTACCCTCTTCCTGGCCCTCGCCTTGCCTCTTGTTCTGGCCCTAGTCGTGGCCCTCGTCCTGGACCTCTTCCTGGACCTCGACCTGAATCTTAACATGGTCTTTGTCCTGATCCTTGCCTTTGCCCTCACTCCCACCCTTGCCATCGCAGTCGCCCTTCCCATCCCCGTGGTCACACTCTTATCATCGTAGTTCTTTACCGACGTCCTCCTCGTCCTCGACTTCACCGTCCTCCCATACGTTCGCCTCCCCAATTGCACTCTCACGCTGTACCTCCACCTCCACCAACCTTGCCGCTCCCACCACCTTCGGCCCCCACTCCCCGCCCAACCCCGTCCTCCACCGGCCCCGCCCTCGCCGTGGGCTGGGCCACCTTCGCCTTCCATTCGTCACCCCAACCCTCCATATTGCCCATTTCGGCCGGCGGCGGCGGCGGTGGCCGGCCCGCGTTGCGAAGGATGAGAGCAGTTTCCGCTTGTTTTATAACGCCGAGTGGTTGTGTTATTGCCGCTTGTTTCGCCGCAACAAGGAGCGCTGGGATTCAAACGGGCGTCGCGCTGCAGCGCGAACAGCTTCGCCCGCTGAATGAACCCGGCACTGACGCCGTGTTCTCGGGAGATTGGGGTGAGACGGGGGCGCAGCGCGAGCTGTGAATTATCATTTTAGTGGACACTGTGTTAATTGCTGGACCTGATGAGAGTTCCAATGCAGACTTTCTGCAGAGGAGTATGTTGGAATCAAAAAAAAGGCTGATGGAATAACGGATTGAAAAAGTTTTACTGTTGGAAAACTTGCTAAATGTTAATGGGCTACAATATTATTTCCTTTGAATAGAATCAGTAAAAATTGAGAAAAATAAAGAATACTAATGAAATGTTCGTATTTTGAATTTGATATTTGCATTAAAATTATCATTATTAGACGTACATCTCGTAATATAAAACATTCTGGAAAAATTTCTTGAAGTCCGTTAACTAAATGGTATTGGGATTAAATTTTCGTTTTGTTGGTTTAGATTTTTGTAAAAATTTATTTTATTTTTCCGTGAATTGTAGTTTAAATAGTTTTATTTGTACTGAAATGTCTTTTTATGTTGACTGCAGTTGTTGAGAATGTTACATATTCAAAAGCAATAAAATTCACATACGACCCGACTAAAGAAATATTTAAGAGAGACAATTTTTAAAAACAGCTTTTTCGCTCGCGTCTTCTTGGCTGGTCGAAAATCGGCCCTGTGATAAAAATTTGAAATTAAAATTACCTCCGTCTTTGATCTTGACTACGGCGTGTTCCCAAAATAATTACTTTACTGTAAAAATCTGCGCTTACTCATCTTGGATTTTCAAGTAGTTATTCCAGTGAAAACATTTCTTCACGGATACCAGGAAAATATTTATCTCATGATTCTTTCTATTCATGAGGACTTTCAATAATAGTCGTTAAAGTCGTATGTTGAGTGTTTTTTAAAATAATTAGTAACGTGTCATTATATGTTAATAGAATCATTAAGGTGGGAAGATTTCAACCCTGACGAGAAAAAAGTGTATCATGGACGTTGTTCAAAAAAAAGTCAAGTACCACATGTTTCGTCCTACTTCCGCAATGGCACTCTTAGGAATTCAGAATGGGAAATTTCATTGTACCCTCCTCTTAACATTCTTGCTGGCTGATTCCGTGCTGTTGCCGTCCCCCAAAGCACCTTGTAGAATTCCCAATTTACAACTCGATCGGAATGCCGCCCAACTCCCGAATCACTGATCTACACTAAAACAAACAAAGCACCTGTACGCATACAGTGGGTGACCGCTTCTAACGCACTGTGCGAAATAAGTTAATTTCAGACTTTCAAACACTTTCTTAAAATGGTTTATGCTCTACTGAATTTCGAATAACTATCTTTCAGAAGAAACACAAAGAGCGGTGATGCTTGTTACATTTGTATGTATATGTACTTCGACATAACAGCTCTTAACGAGGTAAGGTCTACCAGCAGCGTCCCGGGCTTTCGGTCGTGGGTTAAGTGGTACGTGTGGTTAGCACATGGACATCCCTACGCTTGTAGCATTTGTAATATCTGTATTTTTCTACATATTGTTCGGTTTCTAAAATTAGACTTCGGCCTTTCGCATAGATAATTTCTCAAGAACATTTCAGAAGAAGGTAAAGCACTATACATCGGAGAGATTTTTGAATGCTCTGCAAAAGAAGAGGAAAGGGACTGATAAGAGCACTAGTCTGGACCCAAAAGTGCATTCTTGTTGTAACATTTTCGAAAATTGTAGTTTGATAATTGATTTTTTGAGAAGAAAATGGAAAGCTGCCCAAATATAAAAAAGAATTATAACTACGAACAGCTTAGAAAACAGTGT